TTTTGAATGAAAAGGGGAGTGACATTAATAAAAGAAAAATATGACATTTATGGCTATCTCAAAACAATTTATTACAATAATTTTTCATCAATTTTATATCGAATATTGCCTTACAAATATATTATATATATATATATATATTGTTAAAAACTGAACTTTAACTTATAAATTATAAGATAATATCAAATGCAAACTTATAGACCTTTATTGTGGTATATTTTATTGAGAGAGTCTTAAATATCATTTTCCCTTGATTTAAAAAAAATTAATGAGCACACACAACGAGATCTTATCATTTCATATCAAAGGCTAAAAAACACATGCTTGCCCCGTCAAGATCATTCCTGGCTAGAGTATGATCACAGCAGTTTCCCTATGCATAAAATTTAGAGAAACAGTTCCTTCCCTATGTTCAACAAAAATCTAGCAAGTTCAATGATATCCTTATAAGAATGCTGAGACACATCAACATGGCAATCAAATTTGTCCATTCGGCACAATGAATAAAAATTTTTACTCTCTTAAAACCCAGTTAAAAGAAAATTTTAATGGTTAGGATTTAATACTTTATAAAATAATTTTTTATTTTTTAATTACGGTTCTAAACTGTTTAAAACAAACTTTTACTGTTTTAAATTGATTTATTTTATAGTTTCACATCTTAATAATAATTTTGCAAAATATAAAATCCTAATCATTAAAAATTTAATCTTATAATTCACTAATAATATATTTACCACTCTACAAAAGTAAATAATATTTTCAAACTCATATCAATCTCGTGTACTTAAATAAAGATTGCATGTAGATTATATAAAAAAAAAAAGTGAACGAATAAATTACCTCTAAAATTTAAGTACAGTAACACCATAAACTTTGAACTCATTTATTGAATAAATTATTCTTTTTAATTTTTAAAAATCATACAATCTAACCCTCTACCATCAATAAAAATTATAAAAAAAAAATAAATTATTTTCTAGTCAATTAACAGTCTAAACAGTAAATCCCAAAAGTTTTATAATTTTTGAAATTATTTTCTATTATTTTTTGATCAACTGCGTTTAAAGTTAACTTTTATTATTGATAAGAGTAGATTGTACCATTTTTAAAGTTGAAATGAAAAAACAATTTACTTAATAAATAAATTTAGTATTTATGGTGTTACTTGACTTAAAGTTTTTAAAAGATAATTTGCTCATTTATCTTATAAAAAAATATATAAAATTGTCCACATCACACGAAAATTGAATTGAAATTGCCCGCCGAAAAATAAGTAAAAGAAATAAGTAATTTGTAAAAGTACAAAAAGAACATAAACATTAGCAAAAAGATATTTAAATTTACTATAACTCACAGCTATACATGGGTCCGCCAACAGCTAGGCAGCAATAGTTAACTAATCTTGCGGCACTAGTTTATAATTGTGACTTCATACAATATTTGTGATGCAAGTAATGAATTGATCTTTCAAATGGCTATTAATGTGTGTGTGTGTGTGTGTGTGTGTAATATCTGAGTGTTTCGGTGTGTGTTTGGATGCACGTCAGTATAAATATGAGAATGCATATTGCTTAGCTATAGATTTATAAACAATAAAATAAAATAAAAAAAAAGTGGTATGGAATAAGGCATAAAGGTTTCGTACCATGTTTGCGAGGAGGTAAAGTATATACGAATCCCATGAATAGGGCATTTGTTGTTATTATTTATTATTAGTATTACCATTGATTTTTTAGATCTTTTAGATTTCTTTTTTTTTTTTGTTTGAAGAAAAATTCAGTTAAGTTAATTCCTATAACTTGCCGGGTTAAGACATACCTTTAAGTTCAAATAACATTTATAGATATATTATAGATTATTTATTGACAAAATTTTTATATTGATAATGAAATTTGATTTTATAAATTTATGAATTATGAATTAAATTCTTATTAATTAAATTAACTTTAGTTTGTAATCTTCCATTTCATGTTCGTATTTTACAAGTTACTTGTATATGGTTCTTATCGCTGCTTCCAAGGCCCATTGGCCTTCAGCCCATCAATAAAGTCCAACTCATAAAAATCTCATTTAAAAAGGGGGGGGGGGGGGGGAACCGCCACTTGTGTATGGTTCTTATCACTAAAAATAAGTGATTGGAACTCAAATTTCGATCATTGTATATGTGACAATTTTTTGATATTAGCAGCGTACTATTTATACTTGAAAAAATTGTCACTTTAGTTGAGATGTCTCTCTCTCTCTCTCTCTTTTTTGCTCTTGGTACAATCAAGCATGAATCTCAAATAAAGTAAAATGGTATTATAAATTCAATCTAAGTACTTCCATTTTTTGCTCTATATAATTAATTTTCCAAAAATGTAAAATATAAATATAAGATACAATTTGTCACCGCTTGCCTGGTTATCTATTGATTGTGAATAATTGAACTTGTCTGGGCCCTTTTCTTATTAAAATGTTTTGTTTTAGTTAATACTTATTATCAAAATCAAGAGATAGAAGTGAAATAGAAAAAGGCACCCCTACCTTTAAATTCTAATCCGATTTTGTGATGCGTCAAGAGTTGGGGAAAAAAACAAATAAAAGAACAAGCTCAACGGTGGGTATAAAAGCTTAGATTGGTGTTGAAATGGATTTGAAATTTCAAAATAAAACTAGAAATAGTATTAAAAAAAAATTTTAGAAAATTCTAAATTCTTTGCTTATGCCTTTTCATCTTTGAAATTGGTTCTGTAATTTTTTTTTCACCCGTGGAATATTTTTGCTTCTTACCGCGTCTCTTGACTCTATATTCCAACTAGAGGGGTGATTTTGGGGAGGGGGTTATATCTGTAAATTATTCTCTAAACTTTAGGTTTAAAAATATTATAAACCTTAATTTTATTTATTGTGAAAATTATTTTTAAAATAAAACAATACAATTTAGCCCTTATAATTAACAACAGAAAATGACAAAAAAAGATCAAAAAAATTATGAAAAAGGACCACAAAAATCATAAAAATAAATTTTTTTACCCCTTTTCTATAATATTTGAGGTATTTTTTGTAATGTTGGATCATTTTTATAATTTTTGATGTATTTTTTCTTGATTTTTTTTAATCAACTAATGACGAGAGTTAATTTTTGTTAATAAAAAAGATTAGATTATAATTTTTTAAAAATTAAAGAAATATTTTATACAATAAACAAGTTCAAGGTCTATAATACTATTGAATCTAAAGTTTAAGGAGTAATTGCTTATATAAAAAAACACTAATTCTTTTATTTTTTTGAAACAGTGATCCTTTTATCTTATTTCAATTATAGATATTTTTTATTTTTAAAATCTATATGAATTTCTCCTAAAATTAATAGTCATATAATACAAATTTTCATTTTATTTTGAGATTTCACTTTCATCAACCTAGCGGCTAGATAACTATTAAGTTATATATGTTAAACAAAATACCTCTTTTAAAACACAAATGTCTAAAATTCGTTCAAGTATATTTTTTAAATTTTTTGTTCATATTTTAAAAAAATAGTAATGTGAAATTTTTTATTTAATAATATTTTAAAGAAATTAATACATAGGTTTATTAAAGTAATATTCAAACACATATTTAATTATATATATAATTTCTGTTTATTTTTTAATATTTCATTAATTCTAATATAATAAATTTAAATATCAAATTAATATTTAGATACTTAATTATTTAAATTTCTTGGAGTAAACAATTTATTATAAATAACAATTAAAAATTATAATTTTTTGACATGATTAAAATAAAAAAATTAGTATTTTAAAATATTTAACGAAATACTCCCAATGGTAAAACAAAGGTCTAGATTTTAAAAATATAAAGAATATCTTAATAATTTTATGAAAGCGGAGGAATATCACTGGATTATACTCTTAATTTTTAATTTACCAATATATTTAATTTCCCAAGGTATTATTAATTACAATAATATATTTTCTTCCAATTCACTCTACTTAAAAGTGGTTAATACAAACAATTTCCATAATTAAAAAGTATTACAATCAGAAAAAAAATTGATAAATCAATTCTTAAATTGAAGGGAAGAAATTGGGAATAAACGAAGACATTTTTAAATTGAAAAAAAGAGAGAGAGGGAAGAAATTCCTGATTGCAATCTTCTCCTTCGCGAGGATCTTGCTACCATGTATTTTTGTTTAGCAAAAAAGAAGGCTATATATAAATATTGAATTTCCAGAAAATGAAGTGATGAGTGATAATTATAAATTGTAGCTTCAGACTTCAAAGTTCAAACTAAAAATTTATATTTTTAAATTTAAGATAGATATAATGAATTATTTTTAAATAATTAATATTTGTTAAATTGGGCTGTTATTTAAACCTAAGATAATAAAAATCGTTAGAGATAATGTATAGAATAAATAAATTATTTCTAAATAACTAAAATTCGTTAATTTTTACAAAGATTTAGAATTTTAAAAAGAAGATAATACAAAACATATCTTATAGAGATATTGTATCATTTTAATTGAGTTTGAAAACTCTATAAATAAGAGGTTGGATTGAGGTCAAGTCACACCGTACCTGAAACACAAACACTGTGGCGATAGAGAATTCGAGCAAAGTCAAGTAAGCTCTCTAATCTTTTGCGTAACGTTGAAAATAATCTTATTTTAACCAGTGATTCTTTACTGATGATGAATATAAGGAATAGAATTCATGAGACTAATCTCTTTTGAGATGCTGGTGATTTTTCCGTTCTTAATTATAAATTCATCATCTGATCTTTACTTTCTTTTCACAGAGAGACTTAATATTTCCATCGATCGCACCGTACCAAAGCATCGTCCTCGTTGAATTGTGATCATCATGACATATTCTTGCGTTCTTCTCACGGAAGACTTGATGGAAGATAGATTTGACATCAGCTTTACTGTGATTCAACGTGGGATTTCACGTAACACAGGACTCCTTCAGATGACACCTTTGAAGTATTTGAATCTCCATTGACGATGCCTTGTGGAGAACTAATTCGAGATGTTCCAGGATTTCTCCGTACAAACGTAGCCAACTATCTCTCTGAAAATGATTTCGAGTCATTGGCATCTAAAATCACATCTTACTACCAAGAAGTAATCCAACATACCACCATTGAAGCTGCTCAACATCTCTTAATACCTCTCATCGTGTATTTTCATGTTCATGTTGATCCCACTGATCATGGCTTAGCACCTATGTTTTTTCATCTTCAACTTCCTTACGACGAATATGCGATGGATATTGATTATATTCGTTATTCAACAAGAACGGATCATTTTATAGAGCATCAATTCGTTCAAGAATCTTCTTATCATCAGCAACTTGCCACTTTTGCTGAATATAATCAAAATTTACACGTTATTAGTGATGATGATGATGATGATGATGATGTGGAGTCACGGCAAGTCAATGAAGCCATAGAACAATCCATGCAACACTTGTTTATGGTTCCGGCAACAGAAAAGGCTCTAACATCACTGAAGAAGATGAAGATGTCTAGCAACGAAGCAAAGGCAAGCCAATGTAGCATTTGCTTGGAAAATTTTGATGATGATGGCGGCGGCGACGATGGTGTTGATGCTTCAGCATTGCCTTGTGACCATATTTTTCACAATAATTGCATTGTAAAATGGCTAAAAACTGGTCATACTTGCCCATTATGTCGCTTTCAATTGCCTATTGAGTAATTCCACGAATTATATGTATCAGTATGTACTGTTTGCATCTTTACAAGAAAAAAAGTTCGTAATTTTGTGTTTATTGGTGATATATATTCTTTGGTTGTTTTTTTAGCCGGAATTAAACCTCTTTTTATTTAATTATAGAGTCTTTACTGATGGGAATGAATGCTTTGCATATTTTAAAGAAGACACTAAATTAGAGTTGCAGCAGTAATTTTAAGAAAAAATATATCTGGAATTTAGTTCAATTAAATAATGATGGAATTAATTAACTTGTGAAATAAAGAAAGTATCTATTAAGGATTAATTTAAGTTTTTAAATAGATGAGACAATTATCGTTTACGGAAAATTACATTATCTTTGTCCATAGAAATTTGGGATCATCAATGAACAGTGCATTACCCGTGTTGCCCCCGAGCTCATGCCATGCCTATCATGCGGTAATCGCTTTTTTACTGTGCATGTACAGTAAACAATCTTTTTACTATAGACATACAATAAAAGCGATTTTATTTAATATTTTTATTTTTTTAAAAAAATTATTTTTAAAATATTTTTAATAATAAATTATTAAAAGTTAACAATATAATATATTTTTTTAATAATTTTTAATAATAATTTATTAAAATATATTTATAAAAATTAACAATATAAAATATTGTTTTTAATATTTTTATTTCAGATTTTTATTTTTTTGAATTTATGAAATTCTTAAATTTTTAATTTATCTTTTTATTTTACATATTTTAAATGACTTATAATTACACATTATATATGAATTAATAAATTCTGAGTTATATTATGTTGTTAAAATAGTTGCACATCTATTACACTTAATATTTTTATTGTTTTCAAAAACATATATTTTTAAAAATATTTTTAATCATAGATTATTAAAAAATTAATGAGATAAAAAATTATTTTAACATTTTTATTTTTTTTGAATTTTATGAAATTATTATATTTTAATTTATCTTTTTATTTTACAGTTTAAATTTTAAATTTTTTCACATGACTTATAACAATGCATTATACATGGGGTAATAAATTATGAGTTATAACATGTTAAATTTTTAATTCTCATGAACAGTAAGTTACTAAATTTTTTTTTTGCATTATTATTTAGATTAATTTTTAAATTGAACGAGGTGAAAGATTATAGAATAAAATATGGTATTATTTATAATTTTAGCATGTATCAAAATAAAAAAATTATTAAATAATAAGTTGTTTATTATGTTTTTAATTTGCGAGGGATGATAAATTTTGAATAGTAAGTTGCTGCTAATATTTTTTTTTTTAATGTGCATGTAGTTGACAGATTAAAAAGAATGACAAGTGTTATCTAAAGTTTTTAGCATTGTTTTAATATATTGTTTATACTTTGATGAGTTTAGTGTTAACAAATTGAGAAATATGGTTGAAAGTTTTTAATTGATTTTTTTATTTTTCTCTTTTATTTGCTCTCTATTAAAATGTTATAATTCTATTTGCCAATTTTTAAAATCAAACTAAAATCTATCCTTCCTCCTCTACTTTTCTCAAACTAAGTAGAAAATCAATGTTTCCCCATTCATTATATAGAGCTATGCACTTTTTACCGTATAATTATCATCATTTGTTAAATCTCTCCCCTCTTTTTCTTTTTTCTTTTCATTTTTTTTCATAATATAAACTTTAATACAATAATAGTTTGGTGCATCTCAACAAGATGGTATCACATGGATGAAATTCTCATCAATAAGATCTAAATTTTATTTTCTTAAATATCTAATGTCTTTTTTTATAAATAAAATAAAAGCCCATTGAAATTTAAATTGTTCCATTTTATTTTCCCACCATTAAAATTTTTAACTAAGGCTTTTTTCATTTATTAAAAGAGATACATATTTCTTTGGTATGTCTCTTGTACATTAAAATATACAAAGTTATTATATAATTGCATTTGCATGCTTTAAATAAATGATATAATCATCCTAAAATAATATATAAGTAACTAATATTAAATAAATATGACAGGAAATATGCAATAGACTGTTGAAGATTCTACTTAACAACTTAAAAAAAGTATTGTAGTAATACGCAATAGGTTAATGTTTTCAAAATTATAATATTACATCATGTATGATAAAATCTTTTCTGTGCATTGTTCAGGGATGAATTCTAGTTTTATATAACATCCAGCAACAAATCTAGGGACACACATACGAGGGGGACAAACTTAAAAATCACCTAAAATATGAGGAGACAACACCTTATTTTTTCACTTTTTACAAACAAATTTAAATTTTATTTCAAAGAGCAGTAAAATTTTTGGATTGATAATATCATTAATTATTGAATTCTTTTAAGCTTATCTTTTTAGAATCTAGTACATAAGTTGGCCAAGATATATATGGTATCTTTTTTATACTCCCTCCATTAAAGGTATTTTTTTAGGAGTTGGATGTTAAACATGTAAAGCATTTTTATTTTTAATCTTTTGAAACGTAATTATTATTTTTTTAAAGTTTTAAAGTACTCATATAATAATGACTTATTTATTATAGAGTGTTTAATAAAAATAAATATAAAAAAATAAGATTAGTTTAAAAGTAGATAACTATTTTATTTAGAGTGAGATTCAGTTAAAAATATATTTTATTTTAAATAGAGGGAGTATACATTATCAACATTCTACAAACAAACATTCATCTAATGGAGAATTTTTGAATTATTTTATAGATAGATCTATATAAATGAAAAAAGAAAAATCTTGAACCATCAGCAAGAACTTATTGAGCAAGAGAAAATGTAATCTAAATTAAATGCTAGTAGCCAAGTTTCGACGCTCTTTGGGAATTGCTATGGAAAATAAATATTTTGGCTAAAACGCATGGAAAATAAAATTTAAAGGTTAATTATATATTATTCTTATTACAACATGTTAAGTAAATAAATAAATATTAAATATTTATAACAAAATAAATATAAAAAAGTCGTTCAGGATAAATCTGATATTTTAGTTTTCAGTTCTTTGTAAGTAGTATTTCAGGAAGATTAGAATATTTTATTCATAAAAAGAGATTAGGATAGTTTAATCTTTTATAAAATTGATAAATTATTTAATAGAAATACACACACTTGTTTCCTCCTTCTTTTGACAACGAATAGTTAGATTAATAAAAGGGTTAAATTTATTTTTCTCTTTATATTTTCCTTCAAGAAACACCAAGCATCATGTACTAATAAATAAAATATCTTTTTTCCTAAATCATTTTTCAAACAAAAAAAATCTCCTTCCATTAATGAGTCACTAATATATTATTGATGGAGGAGACTTTTTAGCCCTTTTGGAAAAAAAAATAGGAAAAAAAGTGTCTCATTTATTAGGATAGATTGCTTAGCATTCCTTAAAAAAAAAAAAAAAAGAAACTTCAAAGTGCTCATATTTTATAAAAAAAAAATTAAAAATAAATTAGCACAAAAAACATGTCACATTAGTTAAAAAACAGTATACTTAATGAATTGTTAATAGAAGGAAATTTTTGCTCATATGCAAAATGGTTTTAAAAAAAATGTTTTACTTATTATTATAGCGTACCTAATGCACATTAAAGAAAAGCATATGAAAGAAAGAAATGCAATTTAATCCCAAATAAAATGAAGGAAACTCTCTAATAAACTCAATACATGATGAAAGTTAGGGCAGCTTCTTTATTTTCTTTTTCAATTTTTTCCTTTATCTTTTTTTCTTTACTCATTTTTTTCACTTTAAAAGTGAAAAATAAACTTGGATTCAATGAATCTCAGGATATAGTTGGCTGCATCTTTTTTTCCGCCAGCCACCGATGAGAGCTAGCCACATCATCCATTAATAGATGCCACCGTCCTCTATATGTATATGTGGATCATTTAAGGTATTTATTTATTACACATATTTCCTAGCATATTCTATGAGAAAAAAATGTTCAATAGAAAAAAATTCAATAAAATAATTTTATAATTGGTGATTCTTTAATAAAAATCCCTAAATTGAAAGGAATCAAACCTATACCATATGGGAAAAAAAAATCCTAGTTGGAAAGACTAATTTGTGTTATGATTTATGAGTAACTAAAATATTTTATTTTTTTACCATGCATTTTCGTTTTAACAATTGAAGGAGAAGGCTATATTAGTCGTATCCATATCAATATTTTTTTTATTTTTGTTGACCAGCTATAAATTATAAGACTTGTTATATAAAAATAATTATATTATATAAAATTGTCGCGAATCTAGCCGAAGGTACAAATACTACAAAATAACCCATTTATTTGTCAAAACTTGACAAATAATTCCTCTAAACTTTCAAGTTTATGTGCAAAATCCCTTGTTATCAGTTGTTCCATCGTATATTCCACTGGCCATTCGGCGAAAGCATAAATATGTTAGTAACAAAAAAAATCTTAAACATTTTATTTACTGATAAGCCTCTCAAACAGAGTTACGTGTGGATCTTAATTAAAATCATATGGAAATAAACCCCTTATTATATTACATTATTTAGTAAAATAATTGATAATTGACAAATTTATGGCAAAGGAGCTATTTCCCTAAATATATATATAAAAACATTTAGGGGTATCTTTTTAAAAGTCAAAAAGGTTATATCCACACAATTTAAGCTTTAAGAAGGGATAATTTATTATTTATCATGAGAAAATCTCTGCAATGTATGACCCATAATCTATATATGAAGCAATCCAATCCCTTCCTTTCTAATTATAGGTTAAAATTTTAAAACTCTATTCAATCATAAATATAGAATAAAGATGTAGTAGTAATTAATCTATTTTTTTAATATTGCCCCCAATTTATTGCACCAAATTGTTGGTAAAATTTTAATTTCTCGATACACTTTTGTCATTAATTCGATTGAAGGATAAAATTGAAAGTCACACAATTTTTTTGTCATATTTAAGGATATTAACTACCATATTTTAAGAACCCTGAAGTTAATTAATTTTATTTTATAATCAGGACCGGGGATAGTAGTTATAATAGCTGGATTCTAGATTACATGGCTATGAACATATATTAAGAAAAATCATATCTATATCTATATATTTATAAAATTTATAATTTAAATGTTTCTAAGTGATGAATAGTAATACTTGTAATTACAAAAACATAATCTTCAAACTTCCTAGTTCCTACGTTATATAAATATATATATATATATATAGAGAGAGAGAGAGAGTGTGTGTGAGTTAAGGTGATTATAATAGCTGGATTTTGTTGAGCACAGAGCCGGAAAGATATCTTTAAAAAAAAAAAAACATATAAAGGGAGTAGGCATAAGCCTCTGAAACTTCCAATCTTGTGCAGCACAACTTTTTGTTTCTTTGTTAAACCTCACATGATGATGCTTCTCTCCCTCCTTCTCTAGCTTCCTTATTTTCCTCTTCACCAGCGAAGCCATCTGTAAGGCCATTTCAGTTTTGTTATTTTCCAGACTTCTATTCACTGAGTCATGTTTGGGTTTGATTTGCTGTTTGTTTATTCCTATGTTTAATTTCACCGTGTCTTGACTTTTCGGGGGTCTAATCAGGTGGTAGATAGTCTCCGCCCAATTCGGCACGCAACAAGAATTGGCTCTAAAGTCTCTCAAGATTCATCATCCTCTTTTTAAATCAGCTGCAATTCCAGAGTTGGTAAGAATCGCCCTTTCTGGTTTAGCTTCTTCTTCTGATTCTTCTTCTTATTCAATTTTCTAGGATTTGTTTTCCAGAACATGAATTCTGGGTCTGGATCAGAAGCAAAAATGGAGTCAAACAAGGAAACACAACAGAAATCAGACAGTTTCGTGATAGAAATGGAAGCCTTTTCTCCAGCCAACATCAACAAAGACAGTAACTCAAACTCGAGAATCACGGTGAGTTCTTTCTGTTTGTTTTTCCCAGAAGCCAAACAGGGTCTTTGGGTTCTGTCATTGATTTTAAAAAATTGGTTTGTGGCAGATATTGAAACTGAAATCTGTTCTGTTACAGTGAGGCAAACATCATCTATTCTATTATTAGCATTTATTACTGCGAACTTGAAGCTTCAGTATACCTTTAAAGTTTAAATTTTTCAAAGCCACTCGCACACAGAGATTACAGGGCATGATGATGAAATTAAAATCTTAAATAAGAGCCATGTGTTTATTAATAATGTGAAGATAAAATTAAATAAAAGTAAAATTGGAGATTAAGTAATGAAAATGAAATCAGGTGCAGAGGAGTGTATCAAGGAAAGGGTGGGGCGATAAGAAGGTGAATATTGCAGCTGCTGCGATCCGTGATTGGGATGCGATACCTGCTGCATGCTCCCCCTCCTCCAAAGGTACCTTGATACAATTTCTTTTAAATTAAATAATTATATGTCTATACATACTCCTATATTGCAATATTTGAATTCCAAGCTAACATATTTTAAATTTTTATCTATTTAAGAAAAGTGGTGTGCCATTGGTGAGCTTGTATCAATCCTCCGACTAGTATGAGACAAGAGTGAGACGTGAGAAAATAAGTGAGAGGTATAGAGGAACCAACATGACAAATGCTTAGAGTTGTTGCTGAAATTTCAAGTAACTAATATATGGAAAAAAAATTAAAATTATAAACCAATTATAATTTCAAATATAGGCTAATTTGTATCAGACTCTTTGTCAAAAAGAAAAACATATTGAGTCAAACTGAAATATAAATTGCTTTGCTTGCCCGTTGCAAAGTTAATTAATTACATGGTTTATGTTTTATGAATAGCATATTTAATTTTTGAAACTTTGATATTATATATATATAAATATATAAATTGCATAAACTTTTATAATATATAGTTGTACCCTTTTATATTGATAATGATATAAAGAGTGAATTGGAAGCAAGGAGGAGGAAGGAAACTCGTAACATGAGGTCAGGCAGGTGGTTGAAGGTTAGTTAGTTTGGAGTTGAAAAATTTAAAAAAAAAAACATAAAAAAAAAAAAGAAACCAGACACTTCAAGTTCAAGTTTGAACCTACCCTTTGAATGTGTCATGATACAAGTTATGGGGACAGTTTAGCTGTCTGTCATTGAAATAAAGATCATCCATGGAGATAGATACATGAATTAGTTTGGTAACAGTTTGGAATATTTCTTTTTAATGAATTACTACATGTCATCATAATGTAAATGCATGTTTGTGCATCGTAGGGTGTTGTGTGGCCGGCATGCCGGAAAAGGTCGGGCCTCCGGTGGTGGGGTCCGGCGATTATTGTGACAGCCCACGGGTTCATCACCATATCACTGTCGTCACGACGGCCACCGGGAATGAAGCCAAAAGCATAGCTCGTAGAAATAGTTTCAAACGCCCTTCTCATTTGGGCCTTGATCCCAGGATGGTTCTTGCATTCTTTTCCATTTTGTAAGTTTCAACACTCCTCATACTTAACTAATTGCTACATATATTAATTAATTGAGTCGTTAACTAATGTTAATTCTCTGTTTGTTCTGTGTGTGTGTGTGTGTGTGTTTAATTTCTGGAATTAATAGGTCGAGCATTGGGACAATTGTGCTGATATACTTGGCTCTCAGGACAAGCTATTATGAGTGAAATGTTGACTGGGTTGATTGGAGTTGGAAGCCATGACTGATATATGGAGCTTTAACTAGCGCTGCTTCTGCGCACTTGTCATAGTCCAAACACTTAGAGAGTTGGATTATTAGCAATATTATTTTAATATTTTAACTTTGTAGATCCATTTAACTTTAACAAACTTAGGAAGAGCTAGTAAAGTACAAAATGTTAGTATCTACTATCTACTTCTCGAGCAAATTTGGCCAAAATTTTCTCTTTTTTATATGATTGAGTAAAATTTATATACTTATAGCCTTATTAAATTTAAGGTCAGTGACAGGACTAGAAAAATTAATTTGTGGGGGCAAAATTTATGCATAAGATAAATATTAATATTATTAAAAAATTAATTATAATTTTTTTAAATTATGTTAAATATAAAATTTATTAAAATCAAATGCTATTAAAGAACTATACATAAAATATAAAATTATAATAACATAAAAATTATATATCTATTAGAATTGTGATTTTTATTTTAATTAATAAAATTGAACTCTTTTGAGCTTTGATTAATAAAGGTGGGTTCAATTGATAATGACTTACTTTATAATTTCTTAAGATTTGTCTCTTCAAAACTTTTCTATGCTAACAAAATTTAACTTTTTTGTATAGTATATATTTTTTGTGATAAAATTTTCAATTTAAAGAATCAAAGAAGATTATTTTCTAAACTATTGCTCCCTTCTTTTTAAAACTATTTTTATTTAAGGTTAAAATACATAAATAAGATCTTGGTCAAAAACACATAAATCAGATCCTGGTCAAATAAACTTTTTAGGAAATTAATTTTTTATGAGTCCACATGAATTTTCTTCCCCCCGCCCCCAACCCTTTTGAAGAGACAAGGCTAGCTGAAATTTTTGAATAATCTCTCTTTAAGGTGCTTATTTCTAATTAAGTTAACATATGTATATCTTTTATAGATTATTTATTATATAACAAACTCTTGTATTAGTAATATTATTAACACATTAAAATTTATATGTTTTAATTTGATTGGATAAAAATATATTAAATATATAAAAATAGAGTTAAAATGTATTTTTTTCTCTTATACTTTCTTTTAATGAGCGTTTGACACTTTTTACTAATAAGTGAGGTATTTTTACTTAAACTATTTTACAAATAATGTATAATGAGAATTGCTAGTAAGCATTGAATAATGAATTAGACATACACAAATTTGGGGTCTAATTTGATCTTAATTTGTACCAGTCGGTAGTACTAAATATTAGACTATGTATTAACCAAAACAATAAATTTTCATAAAAGGAAAAAAGAATCGTTATTCATTCAACATTACAAATGGAGGGAGAGCATATGGAAGAGACTTGCTTTAGGGTTATTGATTTGGGTAATAAATGGCAAGGCTTATAGTGGAGGATGATTAGAAGGTCACTCATGTATCTTATAAATGATTCTAGCTAGATGCCCAAGTTATATCAGTGTTCCTTATAATCTTCCACCTCTGTAAATCATTGTCATGTATGATATGCTTTGCTGATATGCGAAGTTGTGGGAGGAAGAGAAGTAATGAACATATAGAGTGCAAGAAGTGTGACATCCATGTGGGAAAAGGAAAAACCAGAATATCATCGTGAGACCTACAAATAAAGAGGCTATAAAGTGATCGCTTAGACAATATTAATAGCCAAAAATGCATGCGTGGTTTAAAAAGCCTCTATTGTTTTCTGCTAAAAATGGTGCAGCTTATTAGCCTCCATGATCGAGTGCTTTCTCAAGTCAGACTCCAGAGAGTGTTTTACTGTGTTTGGAACCCTTTTGGAGTAGACTAGGTTTTCAACGATGTAGGTAATTTTTCACATTTAATACAAAGTGCTGTGTGATCAAAATGGGTGGTATGATTTGGATTTCTTGATTTGTAATCCCTTACAAACCTCTAATTTACACAACCATATATACAGTTGTGTGTGTAACATGTTATATTATACTTCCTCCGTTCTTCCATCCAAAAATTATAAGAAGTCTTTGGAAATATTTTATTATTCCAAAATGTAAAATAATTTGATAAAAATAAAATTTCATCAATAATATTTTCTAATATTACCCTTTAAGTGGAGAGGGAGTTGAAATAATTGTAGTATAATAATTGCGTAGATTAAATTTATATTAAATGAAATGTATTTTTAAAAATTTATATTTTTGTTTTAAAAAAGTAAGTTTTACAATTAAATTTTATTGGTATGTGGAATCTTATTTCTATAATTAGGAATGGATGGAGTGTGTTGCAAATGATGGAAGTTAAGGTATAAATCTATTCTCAATGTTTTCAAGTAAGTGCACCCTATATTTTAAAGTATTTTTTTGGTACAATTTCGCTCTAATGTTTTTCATTTAAGTACATTCTTGCCTTATTGTAAGGGTTTGACCATGTTGACTGTTAATATGAACTTGAAATGCCAAGTGGGCTACCACATGGAATATTTAAAAAAAATAAAAACAAAAACTAGATACACGTCAAATTTGATTCCTTCCTCTTCTTTTTATTTACTGTTAATCATTTTTTTGTTGATCTTCTTTGATTGTTATGTTGCCTTGTGTTCTTTCATTGTTCTGGCTTTGTCTATTTGGTCAAAGTTTCATATTCTTTAGGGGACTAAATATTCTTTTGATGGATAATGTTGATTGTGGTTATGGATCTAGACTTTTTAATTTGTAAATAAGGGAGGTTTCACCAGCAATGAGAACGAAAATGAGGGAGGTTTGATCGGCAATGAGGGAGGAAGATGAGGGAAGGAAGGAGATTGGTTAGCTTGGGGTGATGAGGTGGATGAGAAGTCAAAAGAAAATCTGACATGGCAAAAAGGCGAAGGTGATGTGGATGTCAACAAGGCACCCTAGTAAGTAAATAATGGTCTACATAATTAAATCCTAACGGCAAGGCGGGATTGTATCTATGTTGAGATAAAATTGTGTTAGAAAATACTTAATATGAGGTGTGCTGAGTTGGAAACGTTGAAGGTAGAGTTCTACCTTAACCCTTAATTTGAATTTGAAAAAAAAATACATTATAATAATCTTTAATATATGAGTATTCAACATATTAACTAAAATCTACAAGATGTTGCCGTATTTATAAATTTGTTCAATAAAATGTACTGAAAGTAACATTATTTATGTAAAGAATAAAAAGAAGGGAGATCAATAACAGTTAAGTTCTTAAGAAAATAATAATAATAACTAGGTTTTCAATAAAAATATAAAAATAATTTGTAACTATTGATTTAAACAATTACAAATTTAACATTTTTAATTGTAAATAGGAGATTTAAATTCTCAATTTATAATTAAAATTTTTATTTATAATTTTTTTATTTTTCAAAATTTATTAAGTTTCTAACTATAATAAAATATATGTTTTTTTGAAAGCCATAGAAACAACATTTTCAAGCCCAAATATAAGTTCTACCTTTTCCATAGCATGTTTGGTTTCTTGTTAAGCGAAAAATTCATTTTCGCCCCAACCGAATTTCTAAAATCTTCAGTTTGAAGTTTATAAATTTCAAATACGTACTTTCAGCTATTACGAAACTTGATGTATGTAAATCCTGTGTCAGCAATTCATGCATTATTTGATCACAAGCGGACCAGTCAAACTTCGATCAAGAACAATTACAAAGTTTGGAGTCACGGGTCAAAAAGGAGGCGAAGAAATCATTTCCTTCTACACAATATTGCTGACTAGTTTGCTTTTCGAGTTTAAATTTGCATGAATATAAAAATATTTTTAAAAGAATTATCTTTAATTAAGTTCAACAATGCGCTAATATGGCTTATTGAATAATCATATGAATAAAAAACTCATCTTCCTAACCCTTTTATATGCCAAGCATATCATAAACACTATTCGTATGTGGTATTTAGAGGGATGTAGGAGAGGAAGACCAGTAAGGGTCATGGCTTCCTCAAGTTTTTAATTTTTTTAATATTATATAAATATTGCGTACTTTTCAACCCCAAAATTTATTAAAACTTTGTATTATATATATATATATATATATTTTAATTTCAATTTCAATCACCCTTGCTATTAAATCTTGGCTCCACCCCTAATAGCTAGTACTACTACTGTATGTTACGTAGGGTGGGCACCTCCAAGGCTGAAACTAGACACATGTTCTAATTATTTTGTAAGCATGGCTTTGAGCATTTTGAATAAAGAGAGGCACGAATATAATGAGAAGAAAATTATGTGTCCGTTCAAATTTGTTGGTCAAAGGCAAGTGATTAAATTGTAATTTATCTTTGGCGGGGGGGGGGGGGGTGCGTTCTATTTTGTATCTTTAATTTTATTTTTAGTTACAAAACAAGTTTTACTGAATTTAATAATAGACTGACATTACATGGTACTTAAAAAACTACTGATTAAAATTAATGGTGAACGTTTGGTGAAACTACAGTAAACCAAAGTAAAAAATGGAGAGGATCTGCTTAATTAGTTAATTTAATTTTGCACTAAGAATGCCAAATTAAAATTTCATACAATTAGATGAGTTAAAATTAGTCAATTTAACCATTAACTGAAACAATTTAAAATTCATTTTTTTTAAATTGCCAACGCTCATAAAACAGACCACCCTTCTCCATCTTTTCTTTTGCAGATGACTTCATAATTTTTTTTTTTTTGGAGAAGCGAATAATGAGCAAATAAATATGATGAATCTTGGCAATTTGCAGCGGCACCTCTACAAACAGTGGGCAAGAAATGAACAAGAGGAAGACTAAATTTTGCTACTCAAAATATATGTCCATTTTTCTCAAGTTTGTGTTTTGAATCTATAAGGATTTGGAGGAGAAAGACATACTTGAATATATGTAATTGTACTGGTAAGAACATATGCGGAACAAAGCCATGGCAGGATTCAGTTCAAGAACACAGCAAATGCACTCAAAGGTAGAGAAAAAGGAGAGCCAAAGCGAATAAAAATTCAAAAATACATATCTGAATACTTGAAAGTAATCTTATTATTAAACTGCCCACACCAGTGGGAGTTTTGAGCGCGCAGATAAAACGTAAATGTTCCCTCCTCTCAAATTTAAACAATTAAAAAAAAAATTATACATTTGACCCCATAGCATATTATGCTTTCAAGCTTAAATCTTCTCTATATTCCAGTAAAAACCTCCCTGGGCTTATTTTGGACTCAATCCACTAAGAGTGGATTACCCAATAGATTCCAGAAGC